TTTTTCGTACAACATTTTTTTGATTGCCTCAAATTGCATTGTTTAAAGAACAACATCATCATCACCAACTCTAGTATCTATTTATCGTGATTCAACAATAAAGAAATTCTTTGAAGATTTAAAAGTGATAAAAATAGAAAATTTATCAATCTATATTGCTTCAAACTCGGACACCAAAGACAACTCAATCACATTATTAATATTATTGCGTATTACTATTACGCGTAGTTTACTTCAAAGTCAACAATTCGAAAAAACATCAATTTAACACAACTCATATATATGTAAAGACAATTTGATTTTTACATTTTATGAAATGTAATAATAAAAGAATGTTTTAATTGTAAAGAGAAGAGACATTTTTATTTTGAAAGAAAATATATGGAAAGTAAAATTTCTAATTCAATTTACAACATTTGTAAACTTCCCATGATAATTATACAATGATATAATAATTATTTATTCATCCCCGGCACACACATTTTTAAAACTAAAAGTTTCGTCATACATCATTGCTCTACTCTCTGAGTTATTAATGTGGAATTATTTAATTACCCGATTGATTAATTAATTAAAAATTGATCGATAAAAAAATTTCTTTAAAAACACGAATACAAAAGACTATTACTTTATTAAACAAATAATTCGAATTAATATTAATACTAATACTAATACTAATTGTATATCATAAACTGGATTTTGATAAACCCGAACCTATTTTTGTGTTTCAAAATAGATGAAAATTATTCAAGGAAAAAACAAATTTAGAGGTTATAATAGACAGAATATTTGTTACAATAGCTTAAAAGGTGCTTTGATGGAAATCCAATCTTTTTCCAATCCTTCATATATTACTACACGACAAAAATCACAATGATAAATCAAAAATAGCTAACGCATAGAAAAATTGGTTGGAGGGTGATGACACAATATTAGAAATCATAGTCAATAACGTCATTCAAAAAGGTATCACATAAATATGTATTTATTAAAGAAAAGTTGACACTGCAATTACTTTTACATATAACAAACACTTGCTATTTCTTTTAATTGGCGAAACTAAATTACCTTTTGCACGTA